AGGTAAGGGGTCTCTCCCATGTGTAGAAAACTTGGATGACACCGGGGGTGTATGTCAGAACAGCAGGTAGAGGTCACTGGGTGCGTTTTGGGCGCCGTTGACCTGTTGGTGGAAGGAATTTTACTCTCGCGCCGAGGATGTTTCGAGGTGGACTCGCGCCATGTTATGGGTGAGGTGTAGCGTTTCTTGTAATTCCACCGCGAGGGTGTCCGTTGAATAAGAATTGGTTTGATGTAAGCGGTAGGAAGGAGTCGGCTGGTATTCGAAAATGGCGGCCGGTAAGTAAGAAGAACGGCGCGTAACCGATTCAGCTAAATGCATTGCAACTATAAATTATCATGGCGTAGGGAAGTCGCATACCCCAATTATGTGGGTTATGGATCCCAGCGAAAGCCTTCAGTAGGTTGAGGATTGTTCGATTACTATGTAGCGCCTGCCCGTTGCCCACCGAGCGTGCGGAAATTGTACGCGTCTTGTGGATTTAAAGCAGATCACAGACATCTTGCATCAACTTTTACTCAAACTTAAATCCACAGTCTGAGTGAGTGGGGCCCTGCTGGGAATGCGCCCATTCCCAATATTACGCATCTCACAGAAAGGCCGTGAGTGCATATCACGCCGCTGTCACGAGAGCGTGCCGTGACTATTGATTTTTCCCATAGCTTGGCCCACTGACTCAGCTATGTGCCTCGCGTTCCCGCTTAAGTGCATGCAGCCGTTGTGTGAGAATGACTTGCGCTGACTTTCTGTAACGTGCTTTTCTCAGTAAACTCTCTCTCTGGCCAACCGGTCTTCTCTCTATCTCACTCTTACGGGCCCTTGGGTTCGGTGTTCGACTTAATTAGCAGTACCAAGCGCGGGTCATAACAATTTGGCGACGCAGTCTTTCACTCTACAATGGAGGAATTGCGCGCGGACTTGAAGCTGATGGAAACCCTCACCACCAAGATATCCACCCCCTCTACGGGCCAGTCGAGTTCTGCTGGTGGCTCACAATCAGTCGATTCCATTGCCATCAGCATCACTGAATTATTAATAACCCGCAGGCCCAGATTACCTTCAACTACTGATACAAACGATATAAGGATTTATTTTCTGTCGGTCTGGCTGTCTAGGAAGACGCATGGAATGTCCGACTCCTTCGCAAACTGGGTCCTGCTGAGCATGAACGCTACACTTACTTCATTTTGCCCAAGAATCCAAGAGACAATTCCTTCGCAGACACGCTGAAGACATTATCGCATATTTTTGGTGGGTAGTCTTCACCGTTCAACACCCGATTACAGTGTCTCCAGCTGTGCAAACGGGAATCTGACGATTTTATCACGTACGCCGGCATTGTGAATCGCGAGTGTGGGCGTTTTTAATTCGATTCTCTCACTGAAGACCAGTTTAAATGCCTTATCTTCATCTGCGGCCTCCAGTCCCCCAAGGATGCTGAAATCCGGACGCGTCTTTTGTCCCACGTGCAACAGAGCAATTCAGTTACCCTCCAAGAACTGGCTGTCGTGTGCCAAGCACTTATCAACCTCAAGCACAATTCGGTCATGGTCCAAGGGGCTTCTACTGCTAGCTCCGTGAATGCGGTCGCAACAGCTAAGCCACCCCTGATGAGGCGGCCCGAGCCAGCTCCCAAACCAGCCCCCAAGGCGAAATCCCCGCTCTT